CCTGGTCTACAGAGTGAGTTCCAGGACAGCCCGGGCTATACAGAGAAGCCCTGTCTCGGGAAAAAAAGAAAAAAAAAAGAAGAAGAAGAAAGAAATGCAGTCCACACATTTTATATTATAAAATTTTTATGATAAATTAGACTCTGAGGCAAGGAGCCTTATTCTTAACACTTTCCACTGGGACTCACCTTGTGTGATAAATTGTCATTTCAGTAGCCTCTTCCCAGTCTTTACCTAGGTTAAATGCAGGTACAAATGATTTTCAGAAGTGTTCTTACTAAATATCATATCAAAATAAAGCAATAGCTCTCTGGTACCTCATCATGTGCAGACATCTCTCCCTCACAATAGTAAACCCCTTTTCTGACTTGACTAAAGTAAAACATGATGCACATACCCTTTATCCTGTAGCATAGCTCACCTGTACTCTTTAGGGTTTTGTTTTGTTTTTTTTTTTAATCAGTAGCACTTTTGATTCTCTGAAGCCTGTTATCAGGTTTGATTCTCTGAAACCTTGATGCTATTATTTGACTTTAAGAAAGTTTCAATACAGCCAGGCATGGTGGTGCATGCCTTGACCCTGGAACTCAGGAGGCAGAGGTGGGTGGGTTTCTCTGAAGCCAACCTGGGCTACATAGTGAATTCCAGGACAGCTAAGGTTACATACAGAGACCATGTCTCAAATAAAACAAAACAACAACAAAAAAAACAAAATGAAACAACAACAAAAAGCAAAACAACAACAAAAACAATGAAAAAAACTTAAAAATTTAAAAGTTGAAATCTAAAGGTTATATATAGTTAAAGATGAAAATATTAAAAATCTATAGACATTTTTGAAAATCTAACAAGTGGTTGATTCTTCTATTTTCTAAATGGCTAAAACTTCCCTTGTATTCTCTATTTGAATTACACGTGATTTTAATCAATTTTTCAGGCGCTTTTGTTCTAGGTTCTTATTTTTTTTTCCACATCATAATTCTCTAGTTACTATTGTGTTGTTTCCTGTTATTGAGTTATTTAACATAGTTTTTGTTTGGTTTTGTTTTTAGTTGTTGTCTTTCACAGAATGACAGGCAGCACTTGGGTTGTTTGACAATGCAGTTCCTTCCTCTGAAGGCATTCACACACAAACCTACATACAAGCACACTGTCTCTGCCTAAGAAAATATAGTTTCCAAGTCTTTAAGTTCTTTTGACTATCCTTTTCCTGTCTATTGGGAGCATCCTTTCAATTATCCTACATCCTGTCCCTTACAGGGTACCTGGATCTCTTTCTTACAGAGACTTTGGTGTCAGCCACAGCTTCTGGAGGTCCTGTATTACAGTGGCCTGTTTCTGCAGGCATGCATAAAGAAGCCATGGAAAGAGGCAAACATGCTCCTCAGTTGGCAGCCAGTCTCCTGAACACAACAGACCTCTCCTTGCAAGTTACATCCTGTCTGTAACTGAACTGGCCCAACTACCGGGTAATATCTGTTGTGTTAAACTTGCCCAAAAGGGTGTTTGTTGGAGAAGAGGGAAAGGACAGAAACTACAGTCTCAAAAGTAGAAGACTGTAACCTCTCCAAAGAGCATGCACACTCAGCTGAGTAAAACTTCAGAGATTTTACCCACATTTTGATCTACAAGATTCTAGCTTGTTCTAGAAATGGGGATTTTCATTCCAGAAAAGCATGAAGAGAGAGATGCATAATCAAACGCTTCTAACGAGATGTTGGGCTTATCTTGTACTTCTGTCTAGTGAAGTGTTGAATAATTCCACCCAGAGCCTGCGTAAGCAGGAACTAAGTGACTAGGTGGGATTGAGACACCCAGATATGCAAGATAGTTCATTCATCATATGTGTGTATATTTACAAACACACACACACACACACACACACACACACACACACACACACACACATATATATATATATATATATATATATATATATATATATATTATTGGAGTGTATGCTACCCTGATTCTGAAAGAATTACTTCTAATCATACTTGTAGGCTTATTTCTTCTATACTGAAGAACAATTTATTATGGAAGGGCTGGAAATTGAATCTGATTTATTAATATCAAGGTATCATTTATTTTCTCAGTAATAAGACCAGAAAGGTCTCTCTAGTTTTTTTCTTCGGAGATAGAGTGTCACATATCCCAGACTAGCCTCAAACTCACCATTGAACCAATGATGACTTTGAATTCCTGATCCTCTTGCATTGAGTGCTGAGTGAGATTACAGGCATATGCCACCACGCCCAACTTCTGCTCCAAATTTAAAATGTCAATGCCGTCAGTTTAATATTTAAAAGTATATATTATAGCTGCATTCACTTACCAGTAATATCTTAAAAACTTGTATTCTGGCTATGTACAGGTAGCTTTTGCTTTAGCAATATTATAGTGACTCTGTCAAAGTGAGAGAGTCGCTATACTTTAGAGTGCCCCACGCCTCCAAATAATTCTGTACCATATGGCAGAAATTTGATACAGATGGCTAAACTTGCTGTCATGCTTGTTAATTATTAATAGCAAAAACCAACAAGAGACTTAGATGTGACACACTGACCCCTCAGAACTATAAACTAGTGTGAGATTCTATCAAAATACTTAGAGGACTCCATAGCAAATAAGACAATAGGCGAAGGGAGACATGTGAATGGCAAGTCCTTGCCAGACACTGAGGCAGACAGTACACATACTTTAGGTGATTTAACATGAGAACATTCAGACAGAAAACTTTTGAGGGCTGGGGACATGTTTAACTAGTTTTTCTTTTCCCAAGCCCGCATACCTCTTGGTTCGCATATTCATAATGGAAAGGTTAACTCGCTCACTCTCATGCTTCTCTTGCACAATTTTTGACAGCCTCATCTTTTGAATCATCATCTGCCTGGGGCTTTACTTAGAGATGTCTCTGGAAGACTGGTTTAGCATTTCAACTCACCTTTCAAAATATCTCCAGCGCGGGCCAGTCATTCTGTGTCCCAGGTGTCTAATGAGTCATTTTCCTCTTCCCAGTGGCCAGAGCAGGATATCAAAGGCTCGTTTATCTTTCTGGGTGGATACGGCATCGTTAAGCTTAAATGTGCCCTTGGCCAACAGACTTGAGGGTTGGGTTTAGTTATTAACTTGCTGAGCCTCCACCCAGCTAACTATTCTAGGAAATAATCTGGTGAGTCAGGTGTTTTTATGTTCATATTTGAGCAACCAGTCATCTGCCTTGGGTGTTGCAGCTACAGGCTGAACATCCTGAAAAATCTGTCTTCAGGTTTCCAACACTTCAAAGGCTGAGTGCCTCCCACACTGAAAGATACATTGTTTGCTACAGCACCATTGTTTGTAAGTTTCTCTTTTGTGCCACATTGCTCCCGAGGTTATAAAAGGTCACGTTTGGCTTGCCTGGGTCTTGCTGAAGCTGTGAAGGCTTGACAAGCACAAAGCCGCCTCTTGACTTTGAGAGTCTGGAAGTGAGAAAGCCAAAGTGACAGGTTGTAATGAAACAGGACTGAAAAATGAGCTGTTCCTTCGCTCTTGGTAGACAAGTCGTGAGAACCGTGACGTGAGCACCATGACCCTGCGCCTCTCTGTCTAAAAGACTTGACTCACCGGCTGGTTTTCTTTCTGGCAGCTGGTTGTGCAAGCATGCCGAGTGATAGACTTTCCATCACACTTCTCCCACCAAACACGCATACAGAGAAGAACCTGGAAGCCGGGTGAAGGACGGGGTGGGGGTGGGGCTGGCTCAGAACCGCAGGTTAGGTACCTCTCCTATTATACAGGAGAAGTCATAACAGAGTCTCATTTGTTTGAGAGGTAAGGACTCTGCTAAATTATAAAAACTCAAACACAGCTGACTTTCCTCAAGGTCAAGACACACGGAAATTTATTTTAGGAAAAAGGGTTCTCCTAAAATCAAATGATAGTTAATTTTCCATCGAATTCTTTTAGCATGATAAATGTTAAGCCAAAGACAACTTGTATGTTCTGTGGATGATGATGCTCGCAAAATTTCTAGAATGTTGCCAATACTTCATCTTATAACCGAGCTTTTAGACTGTGATTTTTCCCAGGGCTGAGCCAAAACTTAGACAGAGATCATTTGTTCTGTAGATTTATTATGTTGCATTTGTCATGAAGAGACAAAACTACTGGTAAGTATATTTTGTTGGAGATACAGTAATTCTTTTAAGATTTATTTCTCTTATGTGTATGGGTATTTGCCTGAATATTTGTATGTGCCTCAAGTACATGCCTGGTGCTGTTGGAGGTCAGAAGAGGTTGTTAGATCCCCTGAAACTGGAGTTATGGATGGCTGTGGTACCGGGAACCCACGTGGGTGCTCGGAATTGAACTCAGGTCCTCCCTAAGAGCAACAAATGCTCGTAACCCTTGAGCCATCTCTCCACAGCAATTTTTTTAAAAAGAAAATTAGTACTACTAGCATGTGCCCTGCATAGAAAACTTATGACCCATTTGGTTTGTACATATTGAAAAGAACATGCAGACGTCAACAATTGTTTGACACAGTTTAACATTCTTGAAACAAAAAATGGTACAAAAGTTTCAAAAATGGTACAAAAGCAACATTCCAAAACAACGAGAAATAAAGAATTCCATCAAAACACAGTAAAATTTATTCAGTGGCACAGTAGTGAGTGATGTTGTTAAAAGTTATAATGAGGAAAAATAATATTTTCAGATTGGACACAGAAGGTTGGAGGGCTTTCAATGTGCAGATACATATGTACATACACATACATATAAATGTATTCATTAAATCAGAGTATTATCTATGTAGAACTTTTTCCCATGATCCTTATTTTGACTATTTTCTTTATAAACATATACTCTATGTCTGAACTAAGAAGTATAAGAAGACCTAAGAATAACAATTATGATAGCACAGGAAAATAAAAGATGATTAGAGCTATATTGGTAAAGCAGCAAATTATCTTATATACTTACAATGTGATATAACTAAACAAAATCCTAATTTATTTGACAGAGTTGATATAAATCTGATACTCATAGCAAATACAAGGAACAAAAGGGAGAGGGCACAGAAAAGATTAGGGGGTGGGGGGGATCCAGAAAATAAAAAAAAAAAGCAAAGAGTTCTATTTGGGTGTAATTGGCATACAAAAGTCATATACACATTCATGACATACAATGTGATATTTTAACATATAGTAAAACGACTATGGCTACATTAGTCGACATATCCAGCATTTGACATAGAATATTTTGTATATGATGAAAACACTGACGATGTAACCTCAGAAATGTTCTAGTATATTAATTATTATTATAGCATATTAATTATTTTACCTGTAGTTACCATGGCACATTGGAGTTCTAGGACTGACTCAGTAAAAGTAAAATGGAGAGATACTGTAACATGGCACCAGTAAAATGTCCTATCTATACTTGTAAGTCACAACAATAATGTTTATAGAATCGTGTAGAAACAACATTGGAAGGTGTGGGAAACTCTTTTAAATGGACAGCAAATTCATTATGGTTAATTCTCTCCCACACCCCCTCTTTAAATACAGGGTCTCTATGTAGATCTGGCTGGTCTGGAACCTATTATGTAGACCAGGCTGACCCTGAGCTCGCAAAGATCTACCTGCTTCTGATTCCCAAGTTCTATGTTTAAAGGTGAATGCTGTAGCACATGCATACACACTCACACACACACTCACACACACACTCACTCACTCACTCACTCACACACACACACACACACACACACTCACATACCTCTAGTTGCTAAGTAGTTTTATACTCTCTGGAGATGATACAAAAAAAGAAAGCCTATCAACAAGAATACTTTCTCTTAACCTGCAAAAGCAAGCAAGTGGCAAACTTCCTCTTCAAGATGTTTCTACAAATAGAATCACCCAGAAGCTGACAATTTGCTCCTGACCCAGATTAGTTCAAATTGTACTTTATAACTGAATAAATTAGAAAAGTAATTTAAGTAGCCTTTCAAGACATAACTGAATTTTATTCAACAGCCATGCCACCCTGAACTTTGACCAACAGCTTTGGAAGCTAAGCAGGGCCAGGGCCTTTTAGGATTTGGCTGGAAATTTTTAAAAACTAAACTCCTGTTTTTCATGATACTGTATGTTTTTCTTTCTCTGTACCCTAGATAATAAATTTGGCAACTCATAATACATATCAAAAATAAAATTTTAAAAACCATAAGGATAAACAAACTTGTCATTGCCAGTAAAGGAAACCAAGCCTGCAATAGCTGGAGTATAACAGTGGGATTTGATGGCTGTGGCCTTCTGGCTACTGTGTTCATAACGGTGGCTCCAACGTAAAACCAAGAACTGAAAGGAACTTTTCTATAGAAAATAATTTTAAATGTTTAATTTTGCATTCTATATGGACATTTGAATTTAGAGTTGTACGAATTTTTTTTTTTTTTTTTTTTTTTTTGGTTTTTCGAGACAGGGTTTCTCTGCACAGTCCTGGCTGTCCTGGAACTCACTCTGTAGACCAGGCTGGCCTCGAACTCAGAAATCCGCCTGTCTCTGCCTCCCAAGTGCTGGGATTAAAGGCGTGCGCCACCACCGCCCGGCGAGTTGTACGAATTTTTAAGAAACTGCAAGCAACAGTTATAAATATTGTCCTAAAAACTCTATTTCGGGAAAGAAATATTCAGAAGCATGGGCCTTTTCTTTTGGAAAAAAGCTCTTTATAAGAATAAGTTTTCCAAACACACCCATGAAGCAGGCTCTTCAGTTTATAGATCAGAAAGCTGTAAACATTTTATAAGGTCACAGGTCTTAGAACACATTTTGACTTTTTAAATTAAGTAGTGAATTTATGAAAGGATAGAAAAGTACACAACTTTAAAAAATTCTACAACTGAAAAAGGCAAGGACACTGAATTTTGATGTTAAACAGACATGAAAATTGAATCACGTACAAACGACAATAGTTTTATTTGATATAGGTAAGAATGTTTTCTTTTGTGCAAATTTTAACTTATAGTAAGTTAATGTTTAAATAATAACTGTAAATTATTTGTTGCATTACTATTTTAGATAATATTCACAAATATTGTCATGCATCAAATAATTTAAAGTTGACAAGCCTTTATTTCCATTAATAGCATATTCTGAATCCCTCTGCCTAGTCTCATTAGAAATAACGTTCCTTTTTGTCCAAGTCTGACTTTTCCTTGTTGTTGAATATTATTTTGAAATAGAGAAGTATTTGGAAATGCAATCAGCACATGGAAATGAAATAGAGAGAGACACACGAAAGCATCCGATAGGACTGGGGAGTTCTAGGCTTCGTAAGTGCATCCGGAGGAGACGCTGCCAGAACCTAGATGATGAGAGACAGATCTCTGCACCAAAGGAAAGGGGAAGTGGGCAGAAGTCTGTTTGAGCTAAGAAGGCGGTTCATCACACTACCTATGAAAAGCCGTCTGATGTGAGCCACAGATTCGTGGTTGGAACTGGCTAGAAATAAGGCTTGAATCATAAGGCATATGAGATATGTCTCTCTGGTGTGTTTGCTATCGCAAAGCTGGTGGTAATTAGCATAAATACCATATTCCAGAACACCACGGTAAGCTCTAGGCACATGAAGAGGAGAATAAGTCATGAAGTCATGACATTGCTGTCGCTCGATGCTACATAATTACACTCTACAAGAGTGATTCAGAAGTGTGGTGGTGGGAGGGGCGTCTCCTGTCTGACAGCTTCTGATCCCAGAAAATGCTTTGTCACTTGGAAAACCCAAATAATCTGAGTTGCAATCCAGCAGCAACTGCTTGGACCTTTTCAAACTGTATTGTAAAAAGCACTCCACAGTTTCAATTGCACAGTATCAAGGTTTGCTTGGTAATATATTATTAAAGACTATGCACATGCATTATAAAACTGCTTTTATTTTCTATACATCCCAATCTTCATTGATATGTTCACTAAGATCAAGTAGCAAAGTCTTCTCACTCCTCTCCTGTCTCCGTTCGACACCCAGATGCAAGTAGCATTATCATCTTAAGAAGAAATTCATTCATATACTTATTAAGACAAGTTATCACACTGTAGCCC